CCCCGCCCCGCCCCGCCGCGTCAAGCGGCTGGAATGAGGGGAATCCGCGTGCGGAGGGGTCCGGCGGGCTTCACCCGTCCCGAGCGGCGCAGCCGCATTCCTGGGATGCCCGCTGGCGCCCCCGCAGCCACCGCCCCGCATCGGAAGGAGGGCGCGTCGCCGCCGCCCTGTGGGCCTGAGGCCAGCCACAGTCCGGGCAACCTCCCCTGGCCTGCTCCACCTCTCTGGGCAGAAGCGTGAGTCCAGAGAGGGGAAGTGAAGTGGGGAACCCAGGGTGGGAGGGACACCGCCATGCCAGGCGCTTCCTGCGTTCTGAGCTTATGTCACTCCCGTCGGTGCCCGGCGCCACACCATGAGTTCTGTGTTATTATTATATTTTAGAAAGGGGAACTGAGACTAGGTAGGTGAGATGCCTTGTTCAAGATTTCTACACTTCTAGGACGGATGGAACCGGAACCCAGGACCCCTAATACTACTGCTGGGCTGCCTCGATCCCTCCCAACAGTTAACAGGACTGCGCTGACAGTTTTCCTCAGGGACCTAGCACAGGGACCTGTGTCCTATGATTACTGATATATATGCTTTAGGGGTGGCAGCTGGGGAACAGGTGACGGCCACTGGGCCTCACAGCATGGCCCTGCGCTTAAGGTTGGCTGCAGGCTGGAGTACACCATATACCAGTGAGTGACCCAAGACTTAGTCTGGAAAAGCACCTCTGGTCTCCTCCTACCTGGGCAGATGTGTACTGGAACTACAGGGAATGGGATTGACATTCTGGGCCATTCAGTGGCCCTTACCCAGTGCTTCCAAGCCTGATCTCTGGTGGAGTTAAAAAAAAAACAGCCACAAATGTTCCCGAAACCCCCAGGGCTGGAGGAACTGCTTTCAACAACCCTAAACTGACTTCCACTGAGGCAAACATGGCCTCTTGGAGCAGGGGAAACAAAACCCCAGCCTGCCTGGTAGCTCAGTGTTGGGCACAAGGCAGACACTCTTGTTCTGTCCCACTCTATAACCTAGGCTGACCTGGGACACCACAGTCTCCTGCCTCAGCCTCCCTAGTGCTGAGACTACAAAAGTACACTCCCACACCTGGCTTACTTTAGATTCTCGAATCCATTTTAGGTGTGGGCCCAGGTTGCCCCATCAGGGAGTGTTAGAGGCTTCAGGCTTTGGGGAACTGTGAGGGGAATGAGGACAGGCAGGGATGGGGAGGGTTTTACTCACAGGACCCACCACTCGAGCTCCAGAACCGTGGATCTTTGGTCCGCCAGAGACCTTTATCTGTGAGTCCAGCAAAAGCTAACAGAGCACCTTGCCCCTGAGAGTTTTCACATTCACTGTCCTCCCAGAGAGTGAGGGCAGCATCTCCAGCTGGTAATCATGACCTGACATTCAAGGCCGGTCCTCCTCCCTCCATCCCTCACACCTGTCACCGCCTCCTAAGACCTCACTCCTGCCTCTCCATCCTGCTCCTCTTCTGGACCAACACAACAGCCTCCTAACTGTTCTTCCCATCTTCCTCCCACCAATCAAAGCTCTGGCCTATGGCATTTACAAATGCAAATGTGACAGTCTCAGGTTAATGGAAGGGAGGTTGGCAGAGCACAGCTGCCCACGTGCAAAGCCTGCCCTTCACACTCACTGCTTCTGGTCAAACCCTTGCGAACGTGCTCAGTTTACTCCACTGCTCCTGTATGAATCTGTGACCACACAGGTAGTCCCCTCCAGTCCCTTCTTTCTCCACACTTTCCCCACTACCACACACAGTCAAGAGGTGCTGGTTGTACCACTGCTGCCAACCACCAACCACACGGAACTGCATGCGTCTGTGGCTTTGCACCTGCAGCTTCCTTGGCCCAGCTCACTCGACCTCCCCACCTCACTTAGTCATCCCCGAAGAATCAGCTTAGACATCACCTTCTCCATAGCTCCTTCCTAATTTCCCCCAACACACAGCCTCCTCATCGTCTGTTTCCTTGTCAGACTCTGCCGGGAGACGGCTCCGGTCTTAGGCAAGCACCCAGCCAGGCACTCGCTGGAGATTCAATAACCCCAGTGGTGGGCGCCTGCATGAATGAATGAATCTCAGAAGCCAGGAGTGTGAGCAAGAGGCTGGCGCGTGCCGGAATTGAATAAAACAGTGGGCCAGCCATTCATTCCCCCATTCATCTCTGAGCCCCGCACCCGCCTCATTTCTACAAACGGCTCGCAGGGATCACTAGCACGCCTGGGCTCCGGGGGCGAAGGACGGGAAGGGGCGGGGCTCGGCCAGTTTCTCCGGAACCCAGAGCAGGGGCAGGGAGGGCTGCGGGAGTGGCCCAAAGGGAGCACCGGGAGCCTGGATCCTGCGCCCGCGCTTTACCCGCGAGCGTCCCCAAGAGTCTGATCCCCAGTGCCTCCGGGTCCTGGGATCCTGCACCAGTTGGGCTGAGCGGATCTTGTCTCAGCAACACCCGGCCTGAGACAGCACGACCACAGCTCTGGCCGCTGAAGGCGCCCAGCCGCCTGCCCCTTCCTCCGGCCAGCTGGCCGACGGAGGCCACCCGGGACCCTGTGGCCGCTTCCCTTCCCACGCGTACCCACCGGCTCGGCTCTTCGGGTGTTCGGGCGGGGGCTGGGCTGAACGGTGTGGCCGCCTCGGGAGTCCGCGGCCCCGGCACGCTCTCCCCGCCCAGGGCCCGCTAGGGGCCGGGCCGTCGCCTATCGTCATCCCCCGCAAGGCCCAGACTCAGGCGCGCGCGCGCGCGCGCCCTTGGGCCCCGCCCCGTGTTGGTGGCCCTCCCCAGGGCCCGAGCCGGCACCCGCCAAGGCTTGGTGCTGCACTTCTCTACCAACCCGCAGGACGAGACGCGTCATAGTTACACTCGCGCGCGCGCACACACATTCCTCCGGTAGAAGACCAGACTCACGCTGTAGTGCTCGGTGGGCGAGAACACCAGATGCGGTTCTCTGTCCCCAAACGAACTAGACCCTCATTCCACTGCCTTGCGTGCTAGGCCAGCCCTTCCCCATTTCTGATTTTCTCTCTGCCTTCACCAACCTTCTCGTTCCATGCCGCTTGAGTTGGGCAATGCCAGTTCTGCGTGTCCGGCAGGGAAAGAGAAGACACCAATTGTACTGTGCGCCTGCGACTTTTATATGTACTCGTCTTTTGGCGTTAGAGCACTGTCATCTTGCTATCTATGTTGAGTTTCCAGCTAAGCCCATTTAGGTTCAGGGAGCTGGCGGAGGAATTCAAACCCAAACCTCCGCTTTGAAAAAATTCCTTGTAGTAGCCCACAATTCCTTATCCCTTCTTTCCACTTACTCCTTCTAATAGTTTCTGTCCCCATCAAAGATCAGAACAGGTCCTCACTGCTCATCCCTTTCCAGATGGATGTACTGGAGGCCGCCCGGTCCAGGAGAGACCCTACCACCATTCCCCCCAGCCCACAGTATCATCCCAGCTTACAAGTTTGCCTGGCCTGTGGGGATGGACCACGCGGATGATCTCCCCTGTTGGTATCAGTTCTACTTGAAGTGCCATTCCGCTGTGTGGAGCCAGCCTGCAGGACGCAGAAACTGCCCAGCGTGCCACTGGCTCACACTGGGATGGCCAGTTGGTTCTGCTTCAACTCCAGCCCCAGGGGATGTGGCTGGTCCAGCTTCTCAGGACACAGCTGGAGCAGTCCAGGTCTGATTGGGAGGTCTCTTGGCCAGAGGGTTGGGGCAGGAAGAGGAGGGGCTGAAGGATGGAGGAAATGCCTGTTGTCTCAGGTAACCAGAGGAGCTGATGCATCCACCCATGAGGGACCCTGGGTTCCAGGTCAAAGGTTAGGAGACAACCCCCGCCCCCAACTCCTTTCCCAGCAAGTCCTTGGCAGGGCCTCTCAAGCTGCCCTCTCAGATCAGCTCGAGTGCGGAATAACCATTCCTCTAACCAGAGGCACAGCTTTCCACAAAGCCGAGAGGATCCTTTATGTGGCATTGCTCCTCAAGTCCCTTCAGCTTGGCCGCCTCTGAAGGTAGTGAGCCTTACCCTCCTTTCTCTTTCTTTTCTTTCTTTTTTTTTTTTTAAGAGTTTGAATGTTGTCTAGGCTAGTCTTGAACTCCTGGACTCGAGATCCTCCTGCTTCATCTGAGTGTTGGGAGGACAGGCATGTGCTGATTACTTGTTTGTTTTCGAGACAGGGTTTCTCTGTGTTGCCCTGGCTGACCTGGCACTCACCCTGTCGACCAGGCTGGCCTCGAACTCAAGAGATCCAACTGTTCTCTGCCTCCCAAGTGCTGGGATTAAAAGTGTGAGCCACCACTTGACTACACCTTGTTTTAGAGGCCGGGGCTGGTCCTGCTAGGCAGAAGGTGGTATTAGAAACAGCAAGAGGCTCTGCCCATCTCACTGCTGGAGCCTCAAGGTAAGTTCCTGGGTCCCTTGGGTGTGTACCCCCTGTTTATTTTCAACTGTACTCGCCCCCCCCCCCATACACACACAGTGTTCCTGTTTTTCTGTCTTCATTGTTGCTAAATCACAGCTGACATTTTCCTGGCCTGGGATTGAGCTCTGGGTCTCCAGCCATTCCTTATAGGAAATGAGAATGGGGAAGTCAGGGGGAAACAGACTTTTCCAGGAGAGGCTGGCATGGGAGGGGCGGAGGACCCCTGGGACTATGCTGACACTGATGATCGGGCACCTTCCTTTTCTCCCTCAGCTTCCCCCGCCCAGGAAAGGCCTATAAAGCTTCCTTCCTCTGGGAAGCACATCTATCCAGGGCAGGCTCATCCCAGTGGCCACACAATGGCTCTTATCAGTCGCGGAGCCAGGCAGAGACCCAGCACACACCAAGTCTCACATATTTCCTGTTTCCACCCAACGGGTCAGGGGTGGGCCCAGAACAGCCATATCCTGCCTAGGACCTGAGAGGGAGCAATCCCCTTCCTTTTTCCGCCTTTCAATCACAGCTGAACTCGCCCTTCTCAGTTGAGGAGGGACCTGCACCGGGACATTAGGACAGTGTTTCTAAGTGTTGGAGGGGTGGAGGTGAGCTTGTGGAGGCGGGTTGGGACCCCTGGGCCCTAGAGCCAGCCCCAGGGCTTCATGAGTCAGAAGAGCGGTGCTATCAGCACTAGTGGTGTTTTTGAAGGGTTTTGGCAATGGTTCTCTCAGTGACTTGTCAACAGGCATATCATTTATATTTTCTAGATAACCGAGACTCCTGTGGGTAAGAGAGAGTAGGATGGATCACAGATGCAGGTCCAGTCTCTAGGCCCCATGCCTATATTCTGGTCATGTCCCCCATCAAAGGAGTCACATACAAGTGTAAAAGCCACATTTATAATTATCCCTCAATGTAACAACTCACACAGAACAGACAGCTATGGCTCACTAGAAGCCTGGGGGTGGGGTGGGGTAATTCTTTTTTTTTTTTTTTTTTCAGAGCTGAGGACCGAACCCAGGGCCTTGTACTTTCTAGGCAAGCGCTCTACCACTGAGCTAAATCCCCAACCCCATGGGGTAATCCTTAACACTCGGTGGCTGCCAGAATAGAAGACAGAACCTAGAGTAACTGGAGTGACTCTCGGTCTCAGGTCACAAGACAGATGTGAGAATTACAGAACAAGACTCCCTGAGTGTCTTCCCTTGGGAGAATGGGTGTTGAATCATACTGGCAGAAGGCGATCGGCAGGAATAGGGACAGGCTATATCTACATGGCACCTGCAGAATGCTGAGGCCTCTTGCTGCTAGGTCCTTCAAAATGTCCTGAGCACAGCTCCTCTGCTGTTTCCCATCTAGGTCCCAGTAGGGCCCAGAGAGCAGAGCAGTGTTTTCTCTATGACTCATGATAGGAGTGGTAGCAGATGAGCTTGATCTAAAGGACCACCCAAGAGGAATGTGGCTGTGGCTCCTCCAACATCTGTGAACCCCTTGTAAAGGGCAGGTTGGGGACATGGGGCCTCACTTACCTGCAAAAGCTAATCTGAGTCTATGCAACCTGCTCTGCTTCGGCCCTAGAACTTCCTGCTCAAATTCCACGTTACAGGGTAGAGGTAGGTATACCCTCACTCAGTAGTCATGTGCTTCAGCTGCAGACAGGATCTCAGGGCCTCTGCTCATCCACATGGGGACAACTATGAGATGCCAAGACTTTGGGAACCCAGTGCTACTTGTTCCACCCAATTTATGGGGCCTGTACAAATGTGAACATCCCCCCATCCCAGGCCCAAGGTCCAGGATGGCGTGATAGGAATGCAGGCCTGTGCCAAATGGGGCATGTGCCTGGCACGGCTACTTGGGTGTGAGAGGGAGTGTTTGTGTCAGGGGAAAGGGAGAATAAAGACCTGGCATGCAAGCTAGTGGTCTTTTTCATATGCAGTGGACTGTCCCCAAGTCTTCACCATTGACACACTACTTTGTTTCAATCACATCTCAGTAACAAAAACCTGTATTAAATGGCTAGTTCATCTGGCCTGGAGAGAGCAGAAGAGTCTGGCTGAGCTCCCCTGGGAGGTGGGGAGCTGGAGGATACTCAGCTGCCTCCTCAGGGGCTGGGCCAGACCCAGCGCTCCTGGCAATGCTGAGGCAGAGCTGGCTTCCAGCTCTAGCCTCCGCCCTGGATTCATTCACTCCCATCTGGGCTCAGATCTGTGGTTCAGGCTCACACAGTGCGTCATCCCTCAAAAAGTAGCGAAGCGGGATCTGCAGGGTAAAACAGGTAACAGAAGAGGTAAGCAGAGAGCTCTTACCCACTTTCCTAATGCCCCCACTACCCAACAGATACAGCTCCACAGGCATAGGATGCCTCCCAGGTCTGTGATCTCGAGTCCTTCAAAGTAACCTTCCCCTTTTCCCGCCAGCACCCCTTACCTTGAAGGGTTGACTTATCCCTACTATAGAGTGCAGATTGTTGCTATAGTAACAGAGAAGAAACTGGTCCTCACTTTCAGGGACATCGCTGATGTTGATGTATACCTAGGGCAACAGGAACAGTGTCAGCCCTAGGGCCCTGGCCCTTCCCAGTATAGCAGTAAATTAGCCAACACTTCCTTCCAGAAGACAAGAATATTCAGTCAAGTCTGCATGCTGGAGATGTACCTGGTTTGGGTTGTTGCTACAGGAGACTTGGTTGTCGCCAACCCAGACATAGGAGACATAGTCATTAATGTGGCGCATCCCTACCTGTGAGTAGAGATCAGGCAATCAGTCAGTGGTTGAGGAGGGTAGGAGGGTATGAGAGCTGGAGAAAATCCTCCTGAGAAGGTGGGCTGACTGCCGGGGCTGGCCACTGCACTGCCTTTCCTTCCCCAACGGGCCCTAAATTAGTAAGGCTCTCTGGAATGAACAGGGGTGAAGTCCTCAGTGGTCTCTGGCTAGCTCCCGTGAGCCCCCATGGTGGACAAACTACGGATGAAGGACTCCCTGCCAGGCTGGTCACATCACCTTATACAGTCCGATCCAGTCCCAGGGACTGCTGAGGAACTCCGGAGTGCTGGCGTAGCCGATCAACATGTCGTTCTCCATGGTCCACAGGCATTCAGGCATCATGGTGACCAGTGGGACAGACATCAGGGGGTTCATCTAAACACAGGGGCGGGAGGCCGGCTGAAATCCTCAAGGCAACTGCTCCTTACTGTTCCTTACTCTTTCCTTCTAGAGTGCGGGGGGGCAACACAGACCCCCAGAGCACTGGGCATAGAACTTTGCTAAGCTAGTCTAGCTGACCCTAGCTGACCAGCAGGAAAGAGGAAGGCCAAAGGGGCTTGTCAGAGGGAGCATTTGCCCTGTTGTGGGAACGGGTCTAGAAGCAGGCAGACAGCCCAGAGCTGAGGGTGAGGGTGGGGAAGAGGGACCTGCTTGAAGAAAAGCGGTCTGGAAGCTGCTCTTTCCCAAGGTTTTTCTCTCCAAGGCCCCAGTGCAGTTCTGTGGGGAAATGCTGTGGTGAGAACAGCTGTAAAAATGGGGAACGGCCAGTGCTGAGGCGGAGGGAGCTGACGGTTAAATGTGGCCTGCACTGCCTTGTTATTAGGTGGCAAGATAGAAAGGATGGAGAGAGCTCCCTCTGCAACTTGATCTAGATACAATTAGGACAGATAAAAGGAAGTTCTACTTCACATAGTAGGTAATAAGCATGATGGAACTCATTAACCTCAAGGGAGAGCACCCAGAGGAAACAGAAGCCTCTTCACAAAGGGCCTGAACACGTTTTTGACAGAAAGAGCCATCAACAGCTCCTCAGAAACACTGGGATACCTGATCTGAGAGGAAAGGCAATCATGTCTTTCTACAGGTGTCTCCTGCAGACTGCCTGACATTACAGCTCAGCCCTAGAGGGTTTGGAGGTGTGGCCCGGCACAGCTACCCCTCTGCCAGGTTTTGGCAAGTCCAGAAGTTCACCTCCAAGTTGAAGGTCCCAGTGACAGGCTTATGGTCACTGATGGTGTACGTCATGTGGCTGGTGTAGCTCTTTAGCATCAGCGAGAAGTAGGAGGTTGGCAGACTGGAGACCATGGGGCTGACCTGTGGCTGCCGCTTCAACCTCCACAGGATGCGGTCAGTCCATGCAGGCTTGCGTTTTTTCTCACTGGGGTAGACAAAAGAATGGGAGGAAGAGGAGCTGTCGTGATGGCAGAAATGTGCCTCCTTGTGCCTGCTTCAGGGTCTACTAGCAGTCCAGGACTTCTGGGCTGCAACTGGAGGAAGCCCGGTGTGGCAGGGCAGAGTATCCAGCAGAAGCAGCAGGAACTGACCAAAGACCCTCCGCCTAAGCCCACATTTTTATGAACTAAACTCTGATTCAGGAATATTTCATTCAAGGCACTTCTGAAAAAAAAAAAAAAAGAAAGAAAGAAAGAAAGAAAAAAAGCAGAAAAGGACCTAGGTTGGGTTTTGAGGTTGTAGAGACTCAGACATGATTGGGGAGTGCTTACCACAGGCTTGTGGTTAGTATGGCTACCACTCACCCTTTACGGCAGGGAGACTGAGTCTTAGAATGGGAGTAACTTTCCCAAAGAGTTACTAAGTGGTATGTCCAGGACTCTAGGCCAAGCAAGCAGCAATGACCGCAGAGCACTCGCTCTGAGCCACCAAGCTAACCCTCTGAGGCTCCAGCTTCCTCATCTGCAAAATGGAGATGGGAACAGTTGTTACCTCACGGGCTGCTAAGATGACAGATGAGCTGAATCACCTCTAGATCTAGAACAAGCTTCTGCATGAAACAGGCCCTCTGTAGAACTCGGTTATTGTGGTTAGACAGGGTCTCCTGAGTCCAGACTGGCCTCAAACTCTCAGTAAAGGTGAGGATGACTTTGAACTTCTCATCCTCCGGCCTTCATCAGTGCTGGGAGTACAGGTGTGTGCTCCACGCCCAGTTTATGTGGTGCCAGTGACCAGCTTAGGACTTTGTGTACCTGCTAGGCAAGCCTTCTACCAACTGAACCACACCCCGCGCTCCCACTGTGACTCTGTTCTCAAAAGTCATCACAAAGTGCTCGAGGTTCTGAATTCAAACCCTTATAAAACTCAAAACCGTGTAAGTAAAGTATGGCAGCATGCATCCGAAAACCCAGTGCTAAGGAAGGTGGAGGCAGGCAGACCACGGGAGCTCACCGGTCAGCCAGTATAACTGAGTTGGTGAGCTCCAGGTCAGTAAGCGGCCCTGTTTCAAAAAATGAGGGGGGAGCCAGGTGTAGTGGCACACACCTTTAATCCCAGCACTCGGGAGGCAGAGGCAGGCTCATCTCTGAGTTCGAGGCCAGCCTGGTCTACAGAGTGGGTTCTAGGACAGGCATGGCTGTTACACAGAAAATCCCTGTCTTGAAAAACAACGACAACAAAGCTTTCTCCCTCTGGTGACAGAAGCATCTGACCCCATCCAGCTCCACCAGCAGCTCCTGGGTTGACCACTCACTAAGCTCATCCTCCACATAGGGACACAGGCGGGGGCAGGCCCTGTGATGGTGAAGAGAGAGCCTGGGAGGGAGGAGAGCTGCTACTTCCTTCAGCAGAGGATCCCTTTGCCCACAGCAGTAAAACCTCATCTGATGATTCTCTACTTGAAAATCTTAAGCGGCCAGCCAGATGCCTCAGCCTGTAAGTGCTTGCAGGAAAGCCTGAAGGCCTGAGCTCCATTCCCAGAACCCACGGTGGATGGAGAGAACAATTCCTGAAAGTTGTCCTCCAAGCTCCACGCCAGCTCAGTAGAATGTGTGCATCGTCCGCGCACACACACAATACTGTTTTTACTAACTAGTCCAATGGTCTGCTGTCCCTTAAGCAGCAGCACACCCTTCAACAAGTGAGGGTGATACCATGGCGAACTCGGCTCTGGACTCAGAGGCCTATGGCCTCAGGCAAGTGAGGTCACCTCTCTACCTCTCAGTTTCTTGAACTTTGAGATGGAGTGATA